TTTTACTTGATTATTGTTTAAAACTTTAATAAATATCTTTTTTAAAAAATGGCTTTTCCCACTTCTGTTCACCGCTCTTCTCAGATGCTGCTTTGATGATGGCACTTCCTGCAGACTACATTATCCTATCAGATATCGTATACTGCCAGGGTTATAAAGTCCCCATAGCAGAGGAACTCTGGCACAATGAAAACATCTCCAAGCCAAATCAGAGTGAGGACTATTACCCCCTCTGCACTCTTCAACAGCAGAAGATGTCTGCTCCAATTTGCTTACCTACTAATAACCGCTGTAACAAGGAGAGGAACATGCTTCATAGGGCAAGGTTTCCCCCCATGAAAACACAACCTCCACTTTGACTCAGTGCTAATTGTTATCTTATCATTTCAGAGAGCATGCCATTAAGGTAAGGATCCATAGGTTATTATTTAATGAATTATATTGTATCCCATGCTCCCTCCCGATGGCTGCAATGATTTAATGGCACTGTAACAGGACCACCCGTACCTGTCAACTACCTGGCATCACAATGACATCAGATGACGCAAAGCAATATTTTTTCTGTGGGCTCAGCTCAAGCTGCACCACAAGAGGAAGATCCTTTCCATCACCAAGCCAGTGATGTAAAAGAATATTTGCGCTTACAGCAAGCCCTGCTTGGGGAAAGGGGTCAGCTGCGCTATGAGTTCCCCACTCAGAACTCTATGGCACAGCTATGCCCAGCGGGCATTCTGTCGCTGATCAGCACTGACAGCAAGTCTTGCTTGCCAAGGAATAACTAGGGGCAAACTTTAAGGTTCCCAATTGTTCACTGGCAGCTATACCTCTAACTTGCTCCACACCTGCGATGACATTTGATGTCAGGCATTGAGCAGGTGGACATGGCTTGCGGAAGACACCTTTGAAGAGCAAACTGGGACCCATGCCAGGCCTAATAATGCTCGCTTGCAGGAGGTTCCTCAACCCTGTCATATAGGAACCTACCTGCTCAGGGATTTTTAAAAAGGTAAAGGTAAATAAAGGGACCCCTGACCATTAGGTCCAGTCGTGGCCGACTCTGGGGTTGCGGCGCTCATCTAGCTTTATTGGCCGAGGGAGCCGGCGTACAGCTTCCGGGTCATGTGGCCAGCAGGACCAAGCAGCTTCTGGCAAACCAGAGCAGCACACGGAAACGCCGTTTACCTTCCTACCGGAGCGGTACCTATTTATCTACTTGCTAGCAAATAGAGTTCGCAATTTAGCAGACTCAGATATGTTCTTAACCGGGAGAATAAACGCAAGGACTCACGTAGTGAATGATCTGGGAGTGCCCAATGCTGTAGCATCGTTGAAGTTGAGTGTGTGCGGATCTGACTGGTGCTTGGAAGGGGAACCTGACATAAGCTCCTCTGAGCTTTCCGGGGAATAATACAGTAAACGTAAAAAATAAACCATGGTTCAGATGTGTGAAGGGGGAATCCCTTTTGTGTGGCTTGTTCTATTTTCAAAGTTACATTCCAGGCTGACAAAGCAAATCCACATTCTCAATCCCATACATGTGTTGGATTGCTCTATGCCACAGCACTAGCTGGAGTTAACGTTGCAAATTTTGAGCAGCATAAGCAAAAAGTGCATCGTCTTTCTGTTTTTCCAATAATCAAGCTGCACTTGACTACCTATACACCAAATCTCACCTTTCTTTATGTGGCAGAAATGCCTTAAACACTCTGATACACTTGCCAGAGAAATAATCCACTATCTAAAGTAGGAGGGAAGAAATTCCTGTATTGTCCGGAATCTCTAAAAAGCCCGTCTGGAACAATTTAAGCAATTTATCAGTGATTTGAGAGAAAACAACTACTATTCAATGTCTGAAAGAACAGCATTAGCATGGCAAGTCGATACATGTTTGTAAATTCAACAGAGCCCAGAGGGGTTGTGGGAGGCTGGCTCTTTCCTATCAGCTGTCTACTGTACACTTACTCCAAACAACAAAGAAATGCTCTTTTACTGCCTCCAAGAGGAGAATCAGGTGCACTGTCATGGGCTTGACTGAAAACTTTCCGAGCAAGTAAAAATGAGCCTACTTTTAATGTGCTTGGCAAGGTAGCCCCAGCACAGATTCAACATATAAAAATAGAAGACTCTGCATTACTAGATTACCCACTTCTTTGCAAAGGCTGACAGCCCTCATCATTAGGAGGGAATGAGTATGGGGAGAGAAATAACATGCATATATAGTTGCTGTCGCAGCATTTCCCAAGGTTCTGAAACTGATTGTACCTTCTGCCCTGCCTCCCCAATCCAGCACAAAGTGTCTGTTCCACATCTTAGCACATGGTGATCTTTGTAGAGATGATAGTCATATTGGAATCCAAACCCCAGGGGCACTCGCACCTATAGAATGAGAGCCTATAGGCAATGGTCACTCCAAATATCACTGGAAATGTGTAAGAACCAGCTTGGTGAGAAAGAGGGCCAGTTGTGAATGAACAGATCAGGACAGTGAGAGTCAGTGCGGTGTAGTTGCCAGAGGATTGGACAATGAATGAGTGGGTAACCTTGTGCCGGTCACACAAACTCCATTCTAACCTGTCTCAGGGGTTGCTGTGGGGATAACAGAGTGAGAAATAACCACATATAGCAACTTGAGATCCTTAGAGGAAAGCTGAAATATAAGCAAAGCAAACATTATTTTAAGGGGCTTAGTTAAGCGCAGGCATAGGCAAACTCGGATTCCCATCATCCCTGACCACTGGTCCTGTTAGCTAGGGATGATGGGAGTTGAAGTCCCAAAACATCTGGAGGGCCGAATTTGCCTATGCCTAGTTAAGCGGAACGGGACGGGGGGGGGGAGGTCCTGGTATTATAAGTCCCCAAATTCTATAGCTGATAAAAATGCATCTTTTAGAGTGGGACATACTGGCTGGCCCAAGGCACCCCGTCTCCCCCATCTGGATTTGGGCCAGAAAGAAAGGCAAGGTATGGGTGCATGGGGGTAAGATGAAAGCACACACAATTTGTGACACTCTACATCATTGCTGAGGGGACGCAGGTGGAGCTGTGGGTTAAACCACAGAGCCTAGGACTTGCTGATCAGAAAGTCGGCGGTTCGAATCCCCGCAACAGGGTGAGCTCCTGTTGCTCGGTCCCTGCTCCTGCCAACCTAGCAGTTCGAAAGCACGTCAAAGTGCAAGTAGATAAATAGGTACCACTCTGGCGGGAAAGTAAACGGCATTTCCGTGCACTGCTCTGGTTCGCCAGAAGCGGCTTTGTCATGCTGGCCACATGACCCGGAAGCTGTCTGCGGACAAACGCCGGCTCCCTCGGCCTATAGAGTGAGATGAGCGCACAACCCCAGAGTCAGTCACGACTGGACCTAATGGTCAGGGGTACCTTTACCTTTACATCATTGCTGATCAAGGGGGACATCTCTTAAGGCAACAGCCTTAACTTCCAATCAGATTTGTGAGCTGCCAAAGCTACAGGGTTTCCACTATCTGCCTTATATGCAATAATAGTTTAATTCTAGTTCATGCAGATGTATCATGTTTGCATCATAGTACATCCAAGACACTTCACCAAGTCTTTGTTGTTCTCTACTGGCTTGAGACAAGACAATAATGCAAACTGCTAGTATGTTTAAGATTAACATTTTGCTCACCGTGGGGTCTTTAGCAGGGAGGAAGTGCAGACAATCTGCTTTAATTGTTTTTGTTGCAGAAGAGTTACAGACAGGGGAGTGGGGGGAGAGGAAATAAAATGCACATGAAAGCCTTCCTACCACACACAGTACTGTGGTTAGAACTTGTCAGCATTCCTTACAGACACAGAATTGATTCATGCTGAAAACAGATACCCAAAGAGGCAGGGCGTACCAAAAAGTGATTCCTATCAGAAGAGAAGAGAAGGCAAATCTATTCACTTCAAAACTGAGAAAAAGAAGGCTGGGTAGTGTGCAATTATATGGCAAAGAAACTAAGCCGGTACTCAGTACTGAGACATGTAACTGCCATGGCAATGAAAATAACTCCCTGTGCTCACAACTGTTTGCATTTAATGTCTTCAGAATGATTTGGGGGGAAATCCTAGTACAGAGATGTGGTACAAAAGTAGTTAGGACACTTCACATAACCAAAATTGAGGGTCTTAGTCTCACTTTGCATCTCCAGGTATGGGTCCACGATCCAGCGGGATGGAACAATCAGAGTGTTAAAGGTAAAGGGACCCCTGACCATTAGGTCCAGTCGCGGACGACTCTGCGGTTGCGGAGCTCATCTTGCTTTACTGGCCATGGGAGCCAGCGTACAGCTTCTGGGTCATGTGGCCAGCATGACCAAGCCGATTCTGGCGAACCAGAGCAGTGCACGGAAACGCCGTTTACCTTCCTGCCGGAGCAGTACCTATGTATCTACTTGCACTTTGACGTGCTTTCGAACTGCTAGGTTGGCAGGAGCTGGGACTGAGAAACGGGAGCTCACTCTGTTGCGGGGATTCAAACCACTGACCTTCTGATCGGCAAGCCCAAGAGGCTCAGAGTGTTAGCTGGACATATAATCAGACACACTTGTAACTATGCCCATGAGGCTTAACTTCAATGGCCTAGAGACAGATCGAGTAGAAATTACTTAGGTAACATAGTGTGTGGAAACAGATAGTAATGAAGGGTACTACCTTTATCGTCCAGTTCTTATAAAGGTCATACCAGTCTCAAAAGAGCATATTTTAGAAGAATGTGTATGTAAACTAAAGTGGAAGCACTGAAGGCAGCAACACACAAAGACTCCAGATTTCCATGCCATCTAATTACTGAAAGGCTTTCCCCCCAGTCTTAGTAAAACCTACAGCACAGTCCCTTGCACTCTGCACAGCTTAAGTCCTGGTCCACTTCTGTTTTTCCTACTACCCCCATAAAAACAACATTCCTGCAGAAAAGCAAGCAAACCACAGGTACAGTAGAATCAAACCCTCAAAAGAGAAATGGACAAATACATAGGTAGCACCAGTACATAAAGACTCACTTGCTACTCCTGATGCAATTCCATAAAGCAGTCCTCCTCCGTCTGACTCTGGCTGAAAGACATGTGTCCCTGGGGGAGGACTTCTCTCTTGTCTGATGAAGTTATATAGCAATGTTTTCACAAGTCTGCTGGTATACGGGAGACTGAAAATGCAAAACAGAGCCAGAAATTTAGAATGATTTGGGATGGCACTACAATAAAATTCAGATTTCTTTCTCTCCCCATCCTTCTCATTGGGATGGATGACACTACTATGCAATTACATAAAATGCCAGGTTTAAAACAGATTTCTTCCCCTAACTGGCAGTGGGTCAGCAGGAGATACATGTGAGAGCACTGCAATGTAAATAACCATATAACTAGACATTTTTAAAGCCTCTATTTTGAAGGACACCCAACCCCACAATACTTTCAAAGATGTGAAAATACGAACAACCTAGAGAGACACACAAGTAAGCAAAAGCAGGTTAAGGCTTCCTCTTTTCAAACAGCAGTCTTCCATGCCACATGGCAGACTGTTTTTGAAACAATTTATGGTGTGGTACGATGGGGAAGAGATTTGCTGAACAACAGAAAAAAGCCGAAAATTTCAAAAGGTGTGCACAATTCTCTGGATCTGTTTGCCTGAAGTTGCTTTCTTAATCCTGGCAAGAGTGCTCACATTTACTTTTTGCAAAATATGTAGTAGTTCAGGTTGTCCAGCCACATTTAAAGATTATTTTAACTGGATTTATCACCACTCCATAAAGGAAGTGAAAACCTTGCAGTTGCCTTCCCCTCCGTTGCACATATTGGTCAATAATATCAATAATCAACTGAACTTGCACATGTCTCAACTGTTTAAATTGGGGGGAAATAGCAGAGATAACTTCATTCAGAGATGGAAAGGAGATACTGTCTGCTAGGATTCTGTAAAGTCCTTTAGGTGAATGCAGTCTCAGACAACAGATTAGTTAAGTATGGTTTACATTTGACATTATCATCATCTTGATTTAAGCATCAAACTTCCAACTCCCCATCCCCTGACTTATGCAGGATGTATTTATTCACAGAAAGGAAATAACCATCAGATTATATGCTTCCTTGACATATTGACCACACAAGAATATTTTTCTGGCATATGGTGTTGTGACTATGAGAGACTATATATTACTCTCTTCTCTGTGTTTTAGTGGCAAAAAAGAGGCATGTTCAACATAAATGAAGGAAAGCCACTAAATGTCTTTGGGAAAGCATTGCTGTTAATATTGTGCAAGAAACACATGGTTGCACATGCACATGGGAGATTTTCTATGTCTAGATTCAAATCCTCACTTTATCCATAAAGCTCACTGTCTCACAACCCAACTTTCCTGTAAGCAGTTTCTCAAACGCTTTTTGACTTCAACCCTACCTTCTAAATACACTCCACCCCTGCAGAACCCCAATCTACAGTGGGATCCAGAAATATGAATAAATAAGTTATAGCTGTAAAGAAAATCTGAAAAAATACTAGATAATTTGGGAGAGCATACAGGTCTCCTTGACTATCACCCCAAGGCTTTACATTTATTAAAAAAACAATAACCAGTTTATTATTAAAATAAAATTCAGAAAGGGAGTCACGACATTGCATTCTGTGCACAGTTGATCAAAATCCTACTAAAAAAAACCAGAGGCTGGTCTATTTATTTATTTGGAAAAGATGTTATGTATCCCAGGGTGTGGTGAGATTAGTTTTTCAGTTAAGCAGCTCATCTTTCACAAGAGGGACAGGATCAATGGGTTCTGTACTTGCCTCTGACAATCCTCAACACCCAAGCCCCTAACCGCTGAAGGATTTCTCAGCTAACTGCCCACCACCCTACCCCACCCACAGTCACACAGTTTGAGAAATGGTGCCTCCGATGCAAAGAGATGCAGTAAGAATTGTGAAGCACTTTGTACTCTGAAAAAAGTTTTGCATTTTTAAAAAAAATAAAATATAGGGCTGAAATTTCTATACAGTGGTGCCTCGCAAGACGAAATTAATTCGTTCCGCAAGTTTTTTCTTCTTGCGAGTTTTTCGTCTTGCGATGCACGGTTTCCCATAGGAATGCATTGAAAATCAATTAATGCGTTCCAAGGGAAACCGCCTTCAGACCAGGTCCGGGGACAGTCTCTCCCCCGACCTCTTCTGAAGGCTGGGGGGGAACAAGGGCTTCGCTGCCGACCCCCAGCATTTTAAATCTCACCGGGACACGGGGAGATTTTAAAATGCTGGGGGTCGGCAGCGAACGCTTCGCTGATCCCGGGACGGCAGGCAGATCTGCACCGCCATCCAGAGCGGGGCGGGACTTAGCGCCCCGCTCGGGATGGCGGCACAGATCTGCCTGCAGTCCCGGGACGGCAGACAGCTCTGCGCTGGCATCCAGAGCGGGGCGGGACTTAGCGCCCCGCTCGGGATGGCGGCACAGATCTGCCTGCAGTCCCGGGACGGCAGACAGCTCTGCGCTGGCATCCAGAGCGGGGCGGGACTTAGCGCCCCGCTCGGGATGGCGGCACAGATCTGCCTGCAGTCCCGGGACGGCAGACAGCTCTGCGCCGCCATCCCGAGCGGGGCGGGACTTAGCACCCCGCTCGGGATGGTGGCGCAGATCTGCCTGCAATCCCGCGACTGCAGGCAGCTTTGCGCGGCCATCTGGAGCGGGGCGGGCTTCGCCCCCGGCTCCCGATGGCCGCGCAGAGCTGCGCTGATCCCGGGACGGCAGACAGCTCTGCGCCGCCATCCCGAGCGGGGCGGGACTTAGCACCCCGCTCGGGATGGTGGCGCAGATCTGCCTGCAATCCCGCGACTGCAGGCAGCTTTGCGCGGCCATCTGGAGCGGGGCGGGCTTCGCCCCCGGCTCCCGATGGCCGCGCAGAGCTGCGCTGATCCCGGGACGGCAGACAGCTCTGCGCCGCCATCCCGAGCGGGGCGGGACTTAGCACCCCGCTCGGGATGGTGGCGCAGATCTGCCTGCAATCCCGCGACTGCAGGCAGCTTTGCGCGGCCATCTGGAGCGGGGCGGGCTTCGCCCCCGGCTCCCGATGGCCGCGCAGAGCTGCGCTGATCCCGGGACGGCAGACAGCTCTGCGCCGCCATCCCGAGCGGGGCGGGACTTAGCGCCCCGCTCGGGATGGTGGCGCAGATCTGCCTGCAGTCCCGCGACTGCAGGCAGCTTTGCGCGGCCATCTGGAGCGGGGCGGGACTTCTCTGCTGTCCCGGGGAGATTTTAAAATGCTGGGGGTCGGCAGCGAACGCTTCGCTCCCGCCCGCCAGCATTTTAAGATCGCCCGGGGCAGCGGAGAAGTCTCCGCTGTCCCGGGAAGGCAGGCGGGGGGGAGCAAAGACTTTTGCCCCCCGCCGGCCTTCAGAAGAGGTCCAGGACCTCTTCTGAAGGCCGGCTGTGGGCGAAAGTCTTTGCTCCCGACCGCCAGCAATTTAAAACAGGTCCCCGGAGATTTCCCTATGGGCTTTCGTCTTGCGAAGCAAGCCCGTAGGGAAATTCGTCTTGCGAAGCGCCTCCGAAACAGAAAACCCTTTCGTCTTGCGGGTTTTCCGTCTTGCGAGGCATTCGTCTTGCGGGGTACCACTGTATTCAACAGGATTCTGCATATGGATTATAAAGTGGGATTGTATGTAGACACACCCACATGCAAACTATTTCACATTTAGAGTCAGCGTTCTATTTTTACTGCCTTGACACACTTCTATTTAGATGAGCTGAATATTTTCTCATCTCTCCAAGTTGTTAAGATTCAGTTCACTAGGAGTTTGAGAGATACTCTGGCATCCCAACTAAATGAAAGCATTTATAATATTGAAGCGGCAGATACAAGAACTCAGTGAACTCCAATAATGAAAACAATCTATATAGAAAGCAGCATTGTGGTTTGAACATACCATCGACCACGCATGAGGTATTTATGAATGATGCTTTCCCGCAGAATTTCCTTGTGGAACAGTTGGCAGGAGAGGAAAACAACAAAAGTCGTCACAGCTTCTAGAGAAATGCTGTATGTTATGTCTCTGCAAAGAAAAATAGTAAGAGGATTAATGAAAACCAATGAATATATATTTGACAGCTGAATTTTTCGATTATGAGCAAATACTTGAAATTAATGTGTTTGCAATAAGCCTAGAGCAAGGAAGCCCTTGAGAATAAGGAAAGGGCCCCAGCTCCTGTCAACAATGTCACAGAAGCTCTTCCAGATGTATGAAATGAATCAAGAATAAACTACAGTGGTACCTCGGGTTAGAGACGCTTCAGGTTACAGACTCCGCTCACCCAGAAATAGTACCTTGGGTTAGGAACTTTGCTTCAGGATGAGAACAGAAATTGTGCGGCGGCAGCACAGCAGGCCCCATTAGCTAAAGTGGGAGCTCAGGTTAAGAACAGTTTCAGGTTAAGAACGGACCTCTGGAATGAATTAAGTTCTTAACCCAAGGTATCACTGTATTAAATACTGTCCTATTTCTAGCTCCCTCATTGCTTCCAACACCCATCTTTTGTCTTAACAAATCAAATGGAACTCCATTTATCTTTTGTTTTTATTTATTACATTGACATTCCGCCTTTCCTCCAAGAAGTACAAGGTATTGTACACTGTTCTCCTCTCACCTCATTTTATTATCACAACTGTCCTACAAGGTAGATTTCACCAAGAGACCTTCATGGCCAAGTGGGGATCGGAACTCCTGAAGATCTCCCGGACCCCAATCTAACCAACATTCTAACCACTACACAACACTGTCTCTAATGTATTTGTTTTGCTTTGTCTGACATATGAGGCTTTATTACTACTACTTATAAAACACCCACATTTAGCTAGACCAGCAGTAAGCAACGTAGTGCCCTCCAGATGTTGTCAGACAACAACTCTCATCAACCCCAATCATAGGCCATGCTAGCTATGGATGATGGGCGTTGCTGTCTAGCAACATCAAGAGGGTACCACATTAGCTACCCCTGAGCTATACAGTATGTGAGACCAGCTGCCGCTGCGAAAAATTATGTCCCTGTGTCACATGACCTCCCTGTAACACACAGGAGCATTTGCCCTGCCCTGCGCCATTATTTCATGTGCTTCTCCACCCAACATCATTATCTGGCAGTGGCAGATGTGGAGACACAACATTTCCATGACTTACAGCAAGGGGAAAGTGATCCTACACGCAGTATAATGTGTACATGTGCATCATGTTTAGCTCCAAACAAAAGATAAGGAATACCTTAGCAAAAAATAAGGAACACTAAGTATACTATTTAGAACATTTCTAAACAGCTCTAAACAGCTCAACATTAAAAAATATCTAAGTGATGTACCATATAAGTGTTCTCTTAAGAGAAAAATAAACTTATTATTATTCAAGAGATGTGTTACAAGCAAGTTTTTAAAGACAAAGGAATTGCCTCTGATGTTGTACTTGAAACATGTTAGATATAACAAGAAATTGGCATGTTTCTACTATTAAATAGATGTTCTCTAGTATTTCCTTTAAAAGAAATGCATCACAAATCTGTGTACCATCCTTGCGCAGTTTTCTAGTCTCTCTTTTGAAATCTGCATCCTTGTGCTTTGGTCTTTAAAAGTCATCCCAGGCAGACAGGAGATGTGCACAGAAAAACAGCTCCTATCCCATATGGCTAGGATGTTTGAATGACCAGTTCTTGTAGCCAGGGGCTCCCACCAATGAAATCAGCATCACCAGTTGGGTGCTGGTTCATTGGGAAAGACTCGCTCAGCCAACTCCCATTTAAAAAGAATTATTGGAATGTTATCTCAGCTAAGCAGGAGTTGCTCAAGAAGAAGTACGGTACCACATACATGACAGGTGTAACAAAGGAGCTACTAAGATGTATAAATTGCTTTCTACTAAAGTGCTTTCATGAACACCTAGAATCATAGAATCATAGAGTTGGAAGAGACCACAAGGGCCATCGAGTCCAACCCCCTGCCAAGCAGGAAACACCATCAGAGCACTCCTGACATATGGTTGTCAAGCCTCTGCTTAAAGACCTCCAAAGAAGGAGACTCCACCACACTCCTTGGCAGCAAATTCCACTGTCGAACAGCTCTTACTGTCAGCAAGTTCTTCCTAATGTTTAGGTGGAATCTTCTTTCTTGTAGTTTGGATCCATTGCTCCGTGTCCGCTTCTCTGGAGCAGCAGAAAACAGCCTTTCTCCCTCCTCTATGTGACATCCTTTTATATATTTGTACATGGCTATCATATCACCCCGTAACCTCCTCTTCTCCAGGCTAAACATGCCCAGCTCCCTTAGCCGTTCCTCATAAGGCATCGTTTCCAGGCCTTTGACCATTTTGGTTGCCCTCCTCTGGACACGTTCGAGTTTGTCAGTGTCCTTCTTGAACTGTGGTGCCCAGAACTGGACACAGTACTCCAGGTGAGGTCTGACCAGAGCAGAATACAGTATACAGAATACAATACAGAATACAATACCTGAGAGAATAAAAATATTATATGCAACATCATAAAGTGTCACCTTGTATTACACACTTTTTAATAAACAAGTCTACAGTGGACCCTCCAGATATGAACTTAATTCATTCCGGGGGTCCGTGTGCAACCCAAAAGTTATGTTACCCAAAGGTAATGTGACCCGAGGTACCACTGTACTTGATTCTTACATTCAGCATATAGAATACACCATACAGAAGGGATACATGTATGGTTAATAATTTTCACTTTAGCCTGTATTTTCTGCTTTGCTGATATATGTTGCCAGGATGGCCAAGGTGTTCAGGAAGGTACGCCTTTAGGGTGGTATTCAACTAAGTTTTACTCAGAGTAGACCTACTGAACTTCATGAACCTTAGTTATTTTCATTAATTTCAGTGGATCTACTCTTAGTTGCTTGCTGCCCATACACTGGCCCACCTTACTTATTTAAGCCATTCTAATTTCTTACACAGGGACGCGGGTGGCGCTGTGGGTAAAAGCCTCAGTGCCTAGGGCTTGCCGATCGAAAGGTCGACGGTTCGAATCCCCGCAGCGGGGTGCGCTCCCGTTGCTCGGTCCCAGCGCCTGCCAACCTAGCAGTTCGAAAGCACCTCCGGGTGCAAGTAGATAAATAGGGACCGCTTACTGGCGGGGAGGTAAACGGTGTTTCCGTGTGCTGCGCTGGCTCACCAGATGCGGCTTTGTCACGCTGGCCACGTGACCCGGAAGTGTCTCCGGACAGCACTGGCCCCCGGCCTATAGAGTGAGATGGGCGCACAACCCTAGAGTCTGTCAAGACTGGCCCGTACGGGCAGGGGTACCTTTACCTTTAATTTCTTACACCTCAACTTTAACCCAGTTAACTTATTTCACCGGAAGCATTAAGAGTTTTTTAATAAAAGAAATCGCTAATTATGATTGTCAGAATTGGTTGTTCCACACTGCAAGTTTCAAATAATACAGGAGCAGGGTTTGATTGCCATACTTCCTGAGGGTCTACCAGAAAAGGTGAAAGAGGAATTGCCAAAGAGTATAGGTCAGTTTAGAACACTGCAAAGCAAGCTGAGTATCCAATTATCATTTTCAGGGTACGAATACAAGAACTTAATGTGAACCTGATCTTTCCTCTTGGCATAGCTCCCAAAATTAACGCCCACTAATGGCAAACATGCATGCAAAGAATATACTAGTTACAGCCATCCATAAATGTTTGGGAAGCTTCTCAATGTACTTTTTAAAAAAGAATAATTGAAAGCAACCGTGACCTCTTCTGCCACCCTCTTCTCCATGGAAAGAACAGGAAATATTTCCAGTTAATTCTCCCACCTCCACAGAACGGAAGGGAGTGCATTCAGAAGCTACAACAGGGAATTAAGATGCCTTGTTTACGAGTCATTTCATGCCTCTGGGTAAGCTTCAGATGGTCAGTATTTTGATTTCTTGTCCCTACTTACCATTATATTCAAATAACAAAAAACATTTCAGTTTAATATGATGTGTGTTAAGGGCTTTCTGTTTTCTAACAACAAGCCAGAGAACCTAACCCCACTACCACCATTTCTCATACTGGTGGAAAGCAAATCAACCAATTCACCCTTAACATGACTATAGCTCTACAATTCAACCGTAAAAGTAAAAATTATCAGCTATAAGTGATATGAAACATTCATTGAATTATTCTAAATGAAGGATATTTGCATCCTTGCACCAGTCATTGCATAACCACCATCCAAAAAAAACCTACATGATTTTTCTGGACTTGATTTACTCTTATTGCTGAAGTCAGACATAATAGCAAACCAGCGAATGATGCTTTGCTTTTATGAGATGAGCATGTTCTGTCATCTCCTTCCTTTACATGAGATAACAGACTCTTCCTAAGATGGTTAATGAAAAAACACAGCTTGCTATTGCATCCAAACACAGCAACCATATCTGTTGCATTAGGAAGCAACAGCAAACGATAGTTCGACATTCACCAAGATAGGAAACTTCTAATCTCCTCTCTTTACATATAGAGGGAAGTGGATTAAGATCAAGGTTGTGCATTAAGATCAAGGTTGTTCATACTTATAGCAGCAAAAGATGAATTGTCATTACATCTGAATCAAGAACAGGCCACGTTCAAACATTATGCTAAACCATAATTTAGATCAACATAAATGAGCTGAAATGAGGCATAGCACGCCCCAGGTTTACATGCTCCTCCTCCTTCTCCATAGCTGGGTAGTGTTCAGAAGCTTTCACTTCTGCTTTTAAAGTATTGTAAATTTATCTTGATTTTCTTGTTTTATCTTTTTGTAAACAGCTTCGAGGTTTTTGTTTATACAACCAAGCGGTGTATAAATTTCATGAAATAAATAAGACTCGGTGATCTCAAGCTGGCTTTTTCAAACAAATCAGTTAACGTTAACCACATTTTGTCACTTGGAAGTGGAAATGAAAGCTTCTGAGTGCCTCCCTTCAGCAACATGGGATGAATTCAGGCCTAAGGTTTGTTGCATTTCATTCACATTGCGCTACACTATCATTTAGTGTATATGTCATATTATTAATAACAAACCAAAGCAGCTTTTGCAGTTGTAGGCTTAATTTCATCTGTTCAAGGTTTTGACACATGCTCTTTAAAAATATATAATTTGGCAGGGGGTCCACTAATGCCCATTAACCCAAGCAGGCAGAGCAGTTGTGAGATTTGAAAAGGTCAAAACTTTTTCTAAACATTTCCACTCCCCATCATCCTTAAGGGTCTTTAAAGTGTTGAGCAACCTTTTCTTTTAAAAATAAAATAAAAATCATTCATAATTTTGACTGGCTGGCATTTTATATATTACCTACACCCAGATAGCGGGGACAGATAATAAATAAAACAAATAAAATCCTCAATGGCCTCTGACTTGTGCAGAAGTCATTCTCACTTCAATCATCAGGGAGGTATCTTAACGGAAGACGCTATTTCCATTCCATATCACAGACTGCTTTGGACACTTATTTCAAAGGTCTCTCACTACCATGCCACATTTTTTAGGGGATGAGGTTGCTGCCGTTCAAGAAATACGTATCTTCTGCCCTTTGGGCTCCTGGAACTAGATGCATGCAACTCTGCATCCTGGTGATTGATTTTTATAGGGCTTGACTGTGGTTTCAGACTTGTTTTCAAATGGAGTGACCGGCTATCACTCGTCTCCATACGGCTTCCAACAAAGAGAATGATTTATGAATGTGTATCTATTACTCCGTCCTTTCACCTCTCAGCATTTCCTCTAATCTGCCCCAGACAGAAGTATCAGTGTTCCAGGAGGTACCAACAATACCTCTTTGCATCATCAGAATCACTTCTCTAAATCATGCCACAAATTCATTAGACAGCAACTGCCCAAGAATTAATATAATGACGGCAGGACCGTGTTTCATGACAGTGAGGTTTCCAAAGAAAACAGCTGGGCCTTTATCGGGATACTAAATGGCTAGCCTCATTCCAAGTGAAAAAGAAATCAGCAATGTGAAAAATGAAAAGGCTCCAACAGAGAAACATGAACTTCAACGGCTAATCTAAAAGAGACAGAAAACAAGTTCTGCTGACATTTTTCAGGGCTGGACGGTACAAATACATAAAAATGAGGAGGTGTTATGAGATAGCCTCATAACAAATCCACTTTTAGAAGAAGAAAAAAAAACACAATTTAAACCAAAAGATTTGGAATAAAGAACGTACAAAAGGAAAGCAAAGAAAAATGCAACCTCGAAAGCAATGCAACAATGCAACTTTGAAATATTTTTAACACCCCCCTCCGCCCACGGCAAGCAGAAATAAACACAGTGTGTGGAGGTACCAACAATGTGCACAACTGAGGCAGGAAGTGGATACAGAGCTGGAAGCAAAGAGGATTGTGGCAGAGGGGCTGGTGAGAGCTACAGAATGATGTGGCAACAGGGGAGATCTCTGAGCTTCCATTATTATTTGCTAAACCTTTTTAGAAATCCAATGTTAAGGCAACTACCTTATTTCTCGCTCTATAAGATGCACCAGACCACAAGACGCACCTAGTTTTTGAAGGAAAAAAAATATTCTGAATCTCAGAAGCCAGAACAGCAAGAGGGATCGCTGCGCAGTGAAAGCAGCAATCCCTCTTGCTGTTCTGGCTTCTGTGATAGCTGCACAGCCTGCATTCGCTCCATAAGACGCACACACACTTCCCCTTACTTTTTAGGAGGTAAAAAGTGAGTCTTATAGAGCAAAAAATACAGTATTTTTGTTTCCTGGCTTCTGAGGGGTTGCTTAACCACATCCAGTAAGGCTGGATGGCAATTATATTAAACGTATTTATAAACCATAGCCATGTAGCAAGCACTTCTCAGAGCAGTATAAGTAAAGAGAGAGCAGTCCCAGTTCTGATATGCATGCAAGCTAGGTTTAAAAAACTTTTCTACTGCTTTGCATCAAGTAGTGCTCAAGATAGAATCAAAGAATTGTAGAGTTGGAAGGGACTTCAAGGGTTCTTTAGTCCAATCCCCCGCAGTGCAGGAATTTCAACTAAAGCATCCATGACAGATGGCCATCCAACTTCTGCTTTAAAAACCCCAATGAAGGAGATTCAACCACCTTCAGTCTCATTCAAGGAAGCGGAATATGGTGAGCAGTTGTAGCCCACAACATCTGCAGGGTATGGGGGTACCATGCTGCCTAACACTGACCTATTGCCACACCTTCACCCATGCCCAAAAGATTGCTCCTGGCATATCAAACAGCAGTTGGTCCAAAAGAAATGTCACCATTTATTTTTATTTTTGTAAAACTATTATAAAATTGGCAAACTGTTAGCTGGTAATTTTACTATATCTTCTCAGAAGGCAACTGAAACAGACATTCCATAACTTTTATCATGAAGTTTACTTACAAAAGAGGAATCTCAACAATCAGCTGAATGAGGCAGCACAGTAACTCTTCCATAAGGTCTTCACATTCTGATCCTGAAAGAAAACATAGAAAAGTACCATTGCTGGATATTTTGATATTAGCAATCTATTTTGTGTTCTCATTTTGTAGTTTTATGTTGTGATCTGCCCTGTGGTCTTTGGATGAAGGGCTGTATACAAATGTAATTACTAGTAAGAATAAGAATGATCTGCTTTCCCTCCTTGAGAGAAAATTCGTCATTTTCATCCTGATTCCCATTTACTGAAGTTCAAACTCACTGTACCCCTCATGAAAAGCCTTTAAAAAATCCAGAATGTAATGTTGAAATCTTGGGGGAGGGGGCTTCTTGTGAAATTTGTACAAAATTAAACTGAGCCTTCAGATTTTCACTCTTACTACTGGGAACAAACTAAAAGGACAGCAGTTCTAGCTTCTCTGGAAGGTGGTTAGAATCCTGTGTTTCAGTAGAGTTATGTCTCAATGAAAGAATGGAAGGAACTGATGGACAGGCAGACAGAAGAACAGGAGAGAGGAAAGAAGAGGGGTGAAATGAAGAGACTGAGAAGACAGATCAATTCGGCAATCCCTTGTGTGTCTTGTCTTTCACAACTACCCAAAGCAGGTGATTTTTATTCCTAGTCTACAAAATAGGAAATCTAGCCTAACTTGCCCAAATCCAAACTTGTCTATGGGAGCAGCTGAACTCATCCTCAGACTCTGATCTACAAGACCAACACTCTGGTCACTGGTTCACATTAGTTCTCAATAATTATTTATGCTTAATTCTTCAGACTTAAATATTGTAATACGTACATACAAATTTTTAAAAGTTTCAAGCTATACAGATATTAAGGCTTTTTTTTGGCTGTGTTCTGTATTGGTTTCATGTTTTGAATCCCAGCACTCTACTAGACGGAGAACCACAGATCTAGAGCGGCATGAGAAGCTCATCTAACTTTTAAGATATATAGCAGAGGTGTCTCCTGCCTCAGCTGAGCATCATTTGAGCATTTCAAGAGAAATGAGAGGGCAAGCAGAAAATAAAAATTGGCATTCAAGAGATAAAAGTGTAATTTTTACTGAAAGTTTTCTGAATTGAACTGCATTTGTAGATAGATCAATTCATTCATCCATTGGCAGTCAAGCCCCAACCAAAGATGTGTTGCAGCAATGGCATCGTTGCCCGTTGTCATTGTTGCTTAAGATTTTGTAAGAGAAAGGAAGTGAAAGTCAACAATAAATAGAGGAAAAACAGGAAGAGAGAAAGAGAGAGAGGGAGCGAGGGAGGGAGAGAGAGAGAGACAGAGAGAGAGAAAGAGAGAGAGAAAGAGAGAGAGAGAGAGAGAGAGAGAGAGAGAGAGAGAGAGAGAAAGAAAGAAAGAAAGAAAGAAAGAAAGAAAGAAAGAGAAGCAACATATACAAAGCAAAATTTAAAGTGGGTCCTATGTTTCTGTTTGGGATTAAAGGCACTGGATCTCAAAAGGTTAAAGACTACCAAGTTTAGTTACCTTAATGGGCAAAACAGGCCAATTGAGGCACAATTAACAATTCTTTCAATTTAGTGCTTCCTCACAAAATTACTATCGGCATTGCACAGCTGAGAAAATAAGTAGTGGGAAGTGGGGTTTTTTCTGAAATACAGTCATTAAGCAAAGACTTTAAAATGTAATTGCTTTCATAGGGTCCAAAGGCAACAAGAATCTTCCCCCACTTCCATTATGTTTACTTGGGGACATGTCAGTCATTTGCATCCACGACTATACATATGTTTTGAGAGAATTTTATAAACCACGAGTTCATAGAACTGGCACAAAGGGACATCATGTGCCATCATCATTAAAGTCTCAGCATTCCAAATGAGGAAATTATCTCAGTTTTATAGTGGGGGAAACCAAAGCAGGAAACAATCAGCTGGCAGAAGATCACAGTGAAGCAGAGATCACCACCAAGAAGGAACTCCAATTTCCTGGCTTCTGGTTCCCTGCTCCTAACCAACAGACCACACACAAGCACCTTCTTTTTTAAAGATGTCATGCTGTCTATTAAACAAAGCAATTAAATGCCACTTTCTTCAACCAACATACTGCTAAAAATTTTGCTGTCTTCATTAGCATGAATGGGACCAGCTCTAAGGTTTTGTCTGACATACTAATGTGCAGTCAGGGTCTTGATAAAAGAACATTAATGTTCCTTAATGACTAGTAGTGCTTTACTTAATGCCCAAGCTGTCTTTCACCTTTGGAATATTATACTGAACACTCAGAACTAGCATGTGGGGCAGAGAAAGTTACACTGAGTTTTATGGGGGGGGGACAGAGAGCTGAGAGCTTAACTGTTCCAGAAGCTTGAGGTATCCAAACAGCTGCTTTTTGAGAATTCAATGCATAATTTGAAGATTTGCTACATACTGTAGGAATCTTAGTTTCCAATATATTCTGCTTACCTACTTGTAAACATTTTTCCCTATTCTAAAATACCATGCGGCCCGTAGCCCAGGGATGGGGAACTTGTAGCCCGCCAGATGTTTCCTGGACTTGAACTTTCATCATCCATGACCACGGTCCATGATGGCTGGGGCTGATGTGAGTGGAGTTCAACAACACTAGGAAGACCACAGGTTCCCTATCCCGATCTAGCCCCAGACTTCTCACCTCTGCTGAGACCAGCTGCATAAGTCATCCCCCAACTGTCACCAGGTAGCAGTCATTCCATCAGGCTACATGAACTTTTTGCATTTCAGCTGGTAAATTATAAGAACTGTAAAAATCAGTATCTGAGTTGTTTTCCTGCCCTCTTCCCTTCTCATCCCTTTCCCCTTATGTGTCAATTACTTTTGACTATAAGTCTGAGGGCAGGGACTATCTTAGCTTAGATTTTTTAGCTTCAGAGCAGGTTAAAAATACTCAAAAATAATATTAAATATCGATGACACTGCACTTCATCAAGCAAAGGAAGTTAGAAGAGAGAACTCATATGGCATCCTGCATCATTCTCTAATACTGTTTTTTCCCCTCCACTTAATGTGTAAGGAATGTTGGGCTCTGCTAGAAACATGCAGTTTGGGGGAGAAGACAATTCTGAGAAAGGTGGCTCTTAGAACCTTCCCCCTAGAAAAGTGTTCCATATGGCAGAGCTGCTAGTGGCAGAATTCAGCTTTGTGCATATCTGGTCCCACAAAGCTAATCTGGCTGCTACTCGGGCAGCAGTTCCAGAGATTTTGAATTTCACACAGTTGAGGAGAGACCAGGAAGTTGTACGTGGATTGTAAGAACCTGGCTTCTGTTCCCATTTTTTCTCGTAACTTCTATATAATGCCTTGAGCTACATTACGTAGTCGTAGAGCTTTTGTAATATCACAGATTATGCCAGCAGAAGCATTTACAGTGTTTCCCCTGCTCTTAAGACAGAAATGGGCTTCCAGAGTGGCCCTGTCTTATTAAGCCTGTATTAAGACAAGGCTTTACCCACATAGAATCTTAAAGGTAAGACAAGAAAAATGTTCTCAGATCTGCTCATACCTCTCACACACATACATGTGTCATCTTACACTTGTGTGCACAGAACTACTAATTTAAGGATCCTTCCTGGACATGACTGTCCACCACAAATGTTATTGCAAGGAACAGGATTACCTTGGAAAGAACAAGTATTGCTTAGAGACCAGGAAGAAAAAGAGGAAGCAAAGGGGGTGAAAGGCATAGCTATGAAAAGAAAAACCCTTGTTTCCATAGTGATTGACAGGGTTGGAGCAAACTTGGAAAAGAGTGACATGCAGCAGCCTGGCCAGCATCAAACCCGTAAGACTGAATAAGTCGGGGACCAAGGTGTTCACAATTATAGGAAAGGGACATCCTAACAAACATGTGCTCTGACATAAAGGGGAACCTCGTTAAGGACAGGGCTGGGTAGAAGGAATATGACAAAAGAGAGCGAGAGAATTGACATTAGCCATAACAATTATGTTTTCCCATCACTAATTTGTCACAGAATAATGAAAGGAGCCTCAGCCAATCAGATCATGCTTTAAGAGGTCTTACTATGCCTGCTGCAGAAATTGGGCTTGTATTTCTCAGGAAATGCAAACAAGGATCCTCACCTTAGTTACTCTGTTTTACTCACAAGAAACAACTAATGACCAAATTAGAGGTGCATTAGATACAACACTGGTTCCAGGGGACAAATTAGGTATACCCATACATGATTCATTACACATATCAGTTATTCTCCTCTTCAGCAGCCACCCTGGGGAGGATCTTTGGTGGTAACAACTGTGGCTTACCCTAATAAAACAATACTGGGCTTCAGCTTAACTTATTCTTGGTTTGCACTATCACCATGCCTTTTGTTCAGAGCAAAGACATACCAAGCACATACTCATAGGGCAAGACCTTGAGCATGTGCAGAGCTCCAGATCAACTGAGGCTCTTTGTAGCAAAAAAGAGAGACTGTGAGAAAGGATGAAAAAAGCACACAGTACTTGACATTGTTTCTTAGTTGCAAAGTTATTGTAATGACCAGGTGGAATGGAAAAAGCTCAAGGAGAGGAGAAGGTTGATGAAGCTGATCTCCCAGCTAACAAGATGGAGAGGCCCCTGCAGCCCCATCTTCCCGTCTGCTATATTATGATGTAATGTTTATAGCTTTGTCTAAGTTAGAAGTAAGTATTTCATGCAGCCAGGTTTCTACCATGTAATTAAAGTTTTCACAAGGCTCTGCAGCTATTTCAGTCCAAGTTGTCACTCTCTCCCATCCCATTCCTGTAAACTGTACTACTCTATATTCTAGAAAAACACAGATGGCTATCTTCTGCAAAGTCTATAGATCCATCTTATCTTCCCAACATCTACTGTGTTGTGACATATTTTATGACAGATTTTAACAGAAGTCTTCAGCATATGTGAGACACCATTTGTTCCCTTAAAATTGTTAAACATTTACCATAAGAGCCTGGTGTTTTTTCCTCGTAGGTGAAATGAACTTGCAACTCCTCTTCTGACATTTGACAGATCAACACTTTGAGCAAGCAGCAAATAATGAACAGTGCATTGTGAGTCTGCCAGATAAAGAGGTGGCTAGAAGAGAAACAGAAAATTCAATGGTACATACCTCAAACACATCAAGAATTCTGGTTGCTTTGCAGCAAGCCAAGGACTGCTCCTGTAGGCCACCTTGTATGAATTAAAACTAAGGTATTGTGTGAGTCAAAAATATGCAATATAAGGGTAATAGATATATTTGAACAGGCACGAAGAATAACAGTATTGATACTAAGAATCACTATTGTATATAACATGAGTTTGGTCTCAGGTTTTTCTTGTCCTATTTAGTTTCTAGATATGTCTGTACCTTGAACTTCTTCCCTTCTGCTCAAAATAAAAATCTCTACACCAGTTGCATAATGAAATGTTAGAATGAAGCACTTTTCAGCAATGCAAGAAATTCCATTTTGTTGGAGAAAACAGGGGAAATGGAATGTCACATTTTCTATCCTATCCTAATGTAGTGTATTCAAGAGATAATGCCCAGGATTTAAGACAAATTGAGGTTTAACTGCAAAGCTTCATCAAGCTGGTTTGTAAATACTCCTAAAAATAATCACTTAAGCTGAAAAACAAATGTTTATTTTGCAAACCAGACAGCTGGTGGCACAACATTAGAAGCGATTGCTACATTGTAGATGGAAAAAACACGCACATAAAATAATTGCTAAATCATTATCTTCAACACTAAGCTCCAAGGAATTTTGAGTCACAGACTATAAATGTAAGAAAGCAGCATTGGGAAGCCATTTTTATTGTCTCCCCTTCCCCACCCTCAGCGAAAATTGGGACAGCACTACTCTGTGTAAGGGGTACACAGAGTGTAAGGATTAATACAACCTTATGCAAGCAAATATTTCTTGTGCAACAAGCAGCAAAGTCTGTTAAGACACCGCTGCTTTCCAACATTATTATACCTCATCCCCACAATTATGAGACATGAAAGCAGTTTAACTGGAAATAAGTTATCAGATTAAAGACATCTAGCACACAGGATAACTTGCTGACTATATCTGCAGCCCCAAAATATCTCCCTGAGTGTAACCTCAGCTTCTATTGATGTTACAGACACATAGTACTCGCAGGAAGAAGTTTGTATAAAGTTGAGGTGGATATCGTTCAAGCAACCTACATTCTACAATCCACCATTATGTCGGCAACCATGTTGTGTTGCTCAACTTCATGGGCCTTGGCAGCAGACTGAGCCAGACAGCAGCCAATAAAAACAGAAGGCAGCGCCATGGGCTAGTTACACAATGCAAAACGACTGTCTGACCTTTTCAGCTACTGATGTCAGGATGCATTGCAAACTAGTTAGCATGACCTGCTGAAGGGAGACTAAAAAACAGAGGGCAAAACTTAATTGGCTTGGAATGCACATCACATTCAAATGCAGCCTTTTCATGCAAGCTGCTGAAATCGCAGGTGCTTCACTGCTGCACCACTCCTGCTGCTTCTGCATCGCCAGGAACTAAGTCTGGCTCAGCATTAAGTCCAAAACTGGGCTCATTGCTTGTTTCTTTCCAAGCAGACCAAAAATTCGTTCTTGCTTACCACTCATGGTTTGTCTCGCAAGAAACAAACCACAAGTCTGGGTTCAGACACAACACTAAACTAGAACGTGGCTGGTTTCCCAGCAGGAGTAGGGGAAGAGCAAAGGGCCCACAATTTCAGCAGTGTACCTGATCACATTTAAACCGGAGTTTAGTTTAACTATGGTTTAAAGTGACATGCAAGTGAGGAAATGGTCATAAATCAAGATACAGTACTCTGGTGAAATTTCATAATAAACCCACTATAAACATAAGACAGGGATCCCTAAGGTAATGGGAAATCTGAACAGCTCCCAGACTATTTCCAGCACAGACTGGAATGTAGATTGCATATTCCTTGATTACCCTACCAAGGTATGCTCTATCTGTGCAGAAAAATAGTCTGTGTGCCATTCAGATCTCCCATTTTTCGAAATCTTCAAAACTGGTATATATGTGTGATACCTATATAACAAATCTACTTTTAGCTAACTATTCACAATGGGGGAAATTCCTTATTTGTCAGAAGGCCTTTTTCTTTCTGAAAAATCTACCTATTAGGAAGATTCCATGATTCTGCACACTCATGGATAAAAAGGGAATACGGTAACTTTCTACCAATCTATATTCCTTCATTTTACAATTGTGTAGGTCTGAATGGGACTTGATTTATTTAGCCAGGGCTGCTGTCTACAAGGTCTCAGAACCCACAGCGTACAATATTTATTGACATGAGAGTTTCAGTTTATTAGAAATACTCAAAACCAGACTTGCAGTTAGCTATGCACCCTGGATGGGTAGTATGCCAGTCACATTGCTGATTTCTGAGTACAATAAAATTTACCAGCTGGCTCCCTAGTGCGTACTCAGGCTGGTGAAGCAAAGCTGAACAAAACCCACAAACATGATGCACTTACTTTTGACATTCTGCTGAAATTTTTAACTCTTTGGTTCTAGAAAGGAAGACTTTAATCAGCGCTGTTAGATTTCCTGTTCGAGGATTATTCTCCACTAGGAGGAAGAATTGTACAGGTTACACTTCAGGTTCAAACATTACAGCTGTGATCCTATGTACACTTACTTGACCTAGGAATGTGCCAAACTGAACCCAGTGGTACCTACTTCCTAACGAATGTGCTCAGAATCAAATTGCATAGGGGCAAAATCCAGTATCTGAAGGGTAAGCAAACAAGGGGGCCATGCCATGAGTTGGAGATCAGGGCCAATACAGGCTTTTGGGGCAACCTTTTTGGAGAGCGCATGTAACGTGATCATAGCAGAACTTCCAGGAGTAGCCTCCCACATATGCCTCCCACAAGTATTCATAAAATTCTATAGAATTCAAATTGTTAAGTGTTCTTCATTGGCTTCATGGAACTAGATATTAGGGGGCATAAATGGTGCCTATGAAAAGAGATGCTTCAAGATTTGTACTGAATGGAAGCAGAGCACCACACCACTTTATGCAAACGCATGGAGGGTGCTACAGGCCGTTTGTCTAAATCTAGCCCAAATTTAGAAGTTTCCACAGAATCTATATGTGAGATAGCACAGAGGCCACAAAGTCGAACCAGCATTTCTTACTTAATTGTTGCCCCTACCCCAGCTGTAACATTTATCATCTTTATCATCATCAAGATGTTAAATTTATGAACTGCAGGTAAAATTTGGGCAGGTTACAACCACTTTAAAATATTGTAAACTCTCAAACTGTGAGATCATGTTGTTGTGCATTTTTCTACAACTTCAAGTGGTGACCCATGATGTGAATAGAGGGGTATGGAAGCATCATAACATAAGTAGTTCCTACATGTTCTAAAGAGGGAGGGGAGTATTTAAAACAGATTTGCCATTTGGGGTGTCTCGCATAATATCCAGTTCTGCCATGCCCAGCTAGTAGCCATCACGGTTAAACAGAATCTATATTATAAGCCAGTCTAAGAGCTCTTTGAAGCCATATGGCACGACAGAAATTTCAAAATTCATAATTAAGATTTCCAGTATGCCTTCCTCTGATTGATCAAGACACTTCTTAAATTCAAAAGATGTTCTAGACAGGATCAAACATCACAATTTCAAAAAAGACAGCTAACACTGATTGCAAATTTTATGTATTCCGCCTCTGCTTTATCTCCCACACATATTCTCCTTTGAAAACAGTGCTTTAAAATCCTTTTCTTTTTTAAAAAAGGGGATGAAAAACAACCTGTTCTACTACTTCTTAATAAAGCTGTACCCAAGCCACTTCCTGTGACAGAACATAAAATAAAGCAAAAACCTGTGAAAACTTTATGTTCAAACAGCACATGCGGGCACAATATGTCTTCATATACCCTTGGGAGTGAAGAGAGGTTTTAAAAACCCATGTACAGAGCACAGATGGGAGATATTAAATGCACCACAGATATAAAGGTTTATATAGAGCAGTGCAATTTACTAGGAACATTGACAGTACGAAGAACATGGAAATAAATGCCATAATCAAAATAGCCTCTTACCTAAAGACTTGCAGACCGAGACAGCAGCTTCTTCCAAAAGCTTTAACTCGGCACTGAAGAAAAAAGAAAAATTGATTAGAGCCAACACTCAATGAGCTTGCCAATTCTGGTAATTAATAAGACATAATCATAAATTTTAAAAAAGGAAAGCAGCTAACATCTGTTACTATGAAACATATTGTTCTTATGCGCTGCATTCTTAGACCTCCTCCGATCAAAAACACAGAAGTGAAAATAAAAATATAAACACAATGAAAAAACCATGAATTATAGTACTGTATAGCACAATGCAAACTAAAAACCACCCAATGCCTCTTTGACGCCAGCTAAAGACTCACATGTTTTGAACTGCTTTTTTCTATCTTTTTATTTATTATTATTATTCTGCTGGTGGTTTTTGTTGTAGCTGTTAGGGGCTGGATGTTGTTGCATTAGCATGGTTACTGGTTTTATTGATGATTTTGTTGTACTGTGTTGTATTTCACTGTCGTCTGCTTTGAGAATATTTACTCTTGGCCAAACAAATAAAACCTTGGAAGTGCTACATTATTTACTCAATCACAATAACCCCACAGCATACAGTGGTAGCTCAGGTTACATACGCTTCAGGTTACAGACTCCGCTAACCCAGAAATAGTGCTTCAGGTTAAGAACTTTGCTTCAGGATGAGAACAGAAATCGTGCTCTGGCGGCGCAGCAGCAGCAGGAGGCCCCATTAGCTAAAGTGGTGCTTCAGGTTAAGAACAGTTTCAGGTTAAGAACGGACCTCCGGAACAAATTAAGTACTTAACCTGAGGTACCACTGTACACTGGAATCCCAGGCCTGCAGAAAGTAGCTAACAATGGGTAGCTTGTTACTTTGGTGAAATGGCTAGCTAGCATGCCAGAAAGGCAAGTGAGCAAGAATATATGCATTCTATTGACTTCATGACGTCATGCAAACACTACTTTATCTTCTTGGGCTACCTCATTGCATCTGAATAACATTAAATGACAGGCCACCTGAGCTTTTGACTCTTAGGGAACATTTGCCATCTTTTCTGTGTATATACAGGACCCAAAGTTTGCTCCTGTTAGATACTGGCCACACCTGTTGGAGCTCATGGTTACATCACCTGAACTGAGAACAGAACCTTCTCCCGTGGCCATACAGTGTAGGGGAGATAAGTAATCCAAATTCACCTCATGCTTCCAAAAGGGCAGAGCATGTTAATAATAATTAATTATTATTATTATTATTATTATTATTATTATTATTATTATTATTTATATCCCGCCCTCCCCAGCTGAAGCCGGGCTCAGGGCAGCTAACAATAATAAAATAATACAACATTCTAAGAATTTTGCTGACATTTGATAGCTATAAATCACCATTTACCCAGAATGTTTAAATTGTGAAGAGTTTCGCCTTTATACTGAAGACGCTATTCTAATTTTAAAGGTACGTCTGCATGAAAGCTTCCCATCTCACCCCTTTTTTACTAGTGGAAATGTAAGAGGCTATCCCTCTAAAAATACAGGTGGGAATCTATGCCCCTTCAGATGTTGCCCGTCATATCTGTGAATTGGTTGTGCTGTCTGGGCTGATGGAAACTGAACTCCAACATCATCTGGAGGGCCACAGGTGCGACATCCCTACTGTAGATGCACAAACAATGCGTAGTGGGGAAATCACACATCAACACCACTTATACTGCCCCCACTGATGCGCCTCCAGTGCTGAATCATGTCCTCAGTACATATAAGTGGAAACTAGTAAGGATAGTAAGTGAGCACAATTGTGACCATAGGGTTGTCTCCAAATATATCCAATGGGCAAATCTATGAACACACCAGTGTTTCAGTATCACTCACTGAGTCTGTGACTAAAGTTGAGCTTGATCCCGGGTCATCTTGCAACTATATGTGTCTGAATAAAAAATGGTGGTTGCATTATTACTGTCTCTTTCCCTCTTCCCTCACAGATTTCTGCATTCCAGCATAATCCATCAGTGACCCTGATCAACGGATTGAACTGATCACAACTACAATCATCAAGTTTATTTAGATGTTGCTTTTCCAACACAAATAAAGCAGCTCACAAGAACACTAAACAAACAATTACTTTAAAAATGTACAACAAAAGCATAACACATAAATATATCCCAGGTCTATGCCCAGGTTTCATCAGGAGGCTTTGATGTAAACTTTTAAAACAGATGCCCCTACTTCCCGGTAGGACCAAGACCATCTGGAAGGCATTTAAATACCTAAATGCCACCGTATGGGTGACTAGAAGCATGGCTCATTCTACTAAAGCTTGCCTCTATGTACCTAGCACTTCTAGAAACATGCAAGCCTGCAAAAGTACAGCCCCTCAAGATCTAGGGCCTGTATCTAAATTAAGAACAGCACAAGGCCTGTCCATAGGCTTAAAATCAAAGGCCTGCAGAAATGCTCATAAGAGGAAATATGCTAGTGGGGAATGGCCACCTTAGTTTTGGGTTTTTTAAAAAAAATGGAAATGAGTTCTGCCCTAAAAAGTAAGAATTCAAGGACTTCTGCACACACTGCAAAAAGTATACGATGCAGCTCTTAAAGATGTATGCACACATGGTAGAAACCCCAAACCAATGGAATGGATACATATGTTTACATTCACCACCTGAAAAATAGGTATTATACTACACTTTTTATACTTATTTTACAATATCGAAAAGCACAAAAAAAAATCAGGCATCGACTGATTTACTCACATCCAACTGATGTGTGACTGTACACGTGTGCTTTGCAGCAACCTGAAAGTGGCAGGAAAGGGGGAGTAAAGGAGGCAGGGTATAATGAGGCATGGCGGACTTATGCATGCTCCACCGTCATACAAGCCCCAAGCAAATCAGGGGTTGCTTATATTTGCAAGGTAATTTTAATATTTTAATTGATTTTAATCTATTGCATTATATAAAAACATAATTTATGTTCTATTTTCTTATGATATCATACTTACTCCAGGAAAAAGCTCCAAAACAATTACAAATTAACTATTTGTTTTTAAAAACTAATATAGGTTGATCAAAATGTTTCAAATACAAATAACTGTGCACATTTGGGAAGTCTGGACACCACAGCACCACACCATGTTTTGTTAAACCAGCTTTTTCCGTGAGAATTTTCTGTGTGCACCTTTCGGTGGCAATTAATATTTTTGCTACTGTTATTAAGTCTCCAGCTAGTTGTACTTCAAATAACCTAATAGAATATTATGCTCAATGCCCGGTCTATACATTATTTACTTCCCACAACTTATCATTTACAGACTGCAGACAAGACATAAGGATGGTAAGTAGAAGAGCGCTATTCACTATATTGAGAGGGGTGTTTAATTTATTTTAAAATTACAATCAAAGTCTTGTGCCTCAAAAAGCCAAATTTGCATACATTTGATCACTTTGCATAATTTATATTGCTTTTGCCAGTCTTAGTAAAAAGCAAACAGTCATGCAGGGTATTGAAGCTCTGTTCATGGACACCAGAGATGCTGCTCAGACCTCACCTGGCTTCTAAGGTTCCACTAGGCGTTTCCCTGCACACTTTTAATCTCACCTTCAAACCTAGAAATTTGCTTTTGAAAACGAAAGCCAAGAATCTCAGCATGCTGAAATGCCAAATTTCAAGTAACTGCATTGAGCCATTCAGCATTACACAATGCTTAGGGAAGGAGGTCAGCAAACTTTTTCAACAGGGGGCCGGTCCACCGTCCCTCAGACCTTGTGGGGGGCCGGACTATATTTTGAAGGGGAAAAAATATGAACAAATTCCTATGCCCCACAAATAACCCAGAGATGCATTTTAAATAAAAGAACACATTCTGCTCATGTAAAAACACCAGCCAGGCCCCACAAATAACCCAGAGATGTATTTTAAATAAAAGGACATATTCTGCTCATGTAAAAACACGCTGATTCCCGGACCGTCTGTGGGCCGGATTTAGAAGGTGATTAGGCCACATCCAGCCCCCGAGCCTTAGTTTGCCTACCCATGGCTTAAGGGGAATGGACATCAGGGGGAAGCCAGTGCTGAGATGCTCTGGAAATTCCTTTCTTCCCAAAATTAAGAGTAGGCTGTTCGCCACCCACTTTGTGTAATCAAAATCTGGAGAAGGTCAAACTGCACTTACCGCAGAAATCCACTTGAGAGCTATCCTGAAGCTCAAGTATTTGCTCATGCAATAATGTCTTTGCACATTCCCAGTGTTGCTATTAAAAATGGGATAGTTATATATCCTCCCCACATGTTGTCAAAGGGATTTCTTACTTTTAGTAGTAGTAGAGGTGCATGCTGAAGCCCCAATCTCTCCAGGGGATTATTATGTAAAGCAAAGTCATTTCAGGGAATTCTGGATTTCCCACTCATCTTCAAGTCAAATTAAGAATTATGGGGATAAGATTCAATAAACTGGCTTATTATTAAACTGCAAAAACCTCAAAGCGATTTAGAAGAATGTAAAACAGTAAGATTGAGAAAAATGCACAAACATACTTTAATACATGCAAAAGTTAAATCACTAGAACAAATTTAAATTAAATTTGAACCCACATGCCTAATTTTGCACATAACACTAAGCCAGATCATGGTTTAGCTATGGATACTGCAGCAGCAACAAGATCAGGGAAGGAGTGAACAAGCCATTATTTTCATTTTGTACACTAGATTGTTCATGCTTAGCTATGGTTTAGCTTAGTGTTATGTGCAAACATGAGCCTAGCAGCCACCCACAAGAAATACTTACATGTTACATTAATATGGGGGACAGGAGAGCAAAAAGATCCTTCTCACCAGCCAATTATTTCCTTCAAATCCCCCCTAGCCATTTTTATTTGTCATTTTCCTTCCATCTGAGATTCAACCACAGAATGAACCCAGATGAGGTAGGAGCATCTACTGGGAAATGTCTCCAGGCACACCACCACCCCCATCCTTCCTATCTGATGATTCTCTCCTGTTAAATCACACATATAGCCACAAATGGCATTTATATTAGACAACACACCAGTGTTTTAGTGAATGCTTATTTGCC